ACCAGGACCTTCTGCATGCACTGGGACTGTTTGCAGCTGAGTGGGATGAAAGTCAGCACCTCCAAATCCAGTCGGAAAAGGGTGGCTTGCTCACTTCAGGTTGGTGGAGAGATCCTTCCTCAAGTGGAGCCGTGGAGGAGTTTAAGTATCTTGGGGTTTTGTTCATGAGGGAAGGATGGAACGGGAGATTGATCGGCGGATCGGGGCAGCTTCAGCAGTAATGCGGTCGATGTACCGGTCTGTTCTGGTGAAGAACGAGCTGAGCCACAGGGCAAAGCTTTCGATTTACCGGTCTATCTACATTCCTACTCTCACCTATGATCGTGTGCTTTGGGTCATGATTAAAAGGACAAGATCCCGGATACAGGCGGCCGAAATGAGCTTTCTCCGCAGGGTGGCTGGGCGATCCCTTAGAGATAGGGTGAGAAAAGGGTTGGGTACCGAAACTCGGTGCCAATAGGGAACCGGTTCTGACGTAAACGGTAGTAACCAGACCGAATTAGAATGAACATTTCGGTACCTGTTTTCGATGCATGAGGCGCACACGCAGTCTCTCGCTGTCTCCCTCTCCGACGTGCGCGCACTATACGGTTTATTAAAGCACTGTCTGATCTGTCTTGCACGCTCGCTCTAGATTCCGGGAGATTTCCGGGAGCCGACTCCCGGAACGTCTGCTGATAGCGAGGAGATTAAACACAGCCAATGCAGCCAAACATTTCACGTGTAAAATTTCGCGGCAGAATAACGATTGTCTATGATTCATAGACAATCGTTATTCTGACGCGAAATTTTACACATAGACTATGGATATAGAAGAAATACCGTTCGCGCCGCGTTGACGCTCACGTCATCATATTATATCTCTGCCGAAAAAGGAAGCTTGTCGACAGCGCGAGATATTTGGCAGCGAACGCAGCGTCTCGTTCCCTATTCAGAGAACATGGGTTTCACAGAGACGTTCTCTTTCATATACTCAAAGCTGCGAATAAGACGCAGTGGGAACGAAATATCAAACTGGATAAGAGCTTAACTATTAAATGACAAGATAATTTAGCCTACATGACTAGTTAAAGCTGTAGCCATGTCGATATTATATTACCCTGGTGGTAATCTCTATTAATCTCCAGTATAATTACATTGTTTAATATAATATTGTTTTATTTGATATTATGTTAATATGAACTTTTATTTTATATTGGTTTATTTATTATTATCATATGTTACTTGTATTTATATTGTAAGTTAATATTGTGTCCAGTTCGGCCCTGTAAATAAAGGGGTCATTTTTTTTTCGACAAAGTGTGTGCGGTTTCGATTTCTTAAGTACCGTTTCAAGAACCGTTTAGGCACCGGAACCGTTTAAAAAATACCGAGTAGGTACTGGTATCGGATAAAACCCAACCGATACCCAACCCTAGGTGAGAAGCTCGGTCACTCGGGAGGAGCTCAGAGTAGAGGAGGGATGTAGAGGTCAGTAAGGTCTAGGGTTCGGAACCGGAATCGTTTGGCGGAATCGGAACCGGAAAATTTCTCACGATTCCCAACCCTAGTAAGGTCAGAGTTGAGTAGGGGACGGAGGGGGGTGACTATATGGGGCGCCAGAGTCACTGTCGAGCCCTCTTGAGGTGTCGTGGGCTAGTCGACGAAACACTGACGGAAGGTGCCCACTTGAAGACCCCACAGATGTCCCCTACTCAGCTCAATCCAGACGGTTGTGGTGCTGGTCCACTAGGAAGACCACACTGTAGTTCAGCCGTCGTGTGTGCTGACGCGGCAAGTACACTGCAGCCGTTAACGCCGGACAAAAGAGGAGTCACACCACTATACGGAAAGAAGTGTAAATGGATGGAGAAGCATGGGTTTCTGTAAAGCTACGTCTCAGTTTGTGCGTATCTTGGCGAAAGCCGAGTACAAATCAGCATGAAGTTTAACATCTACTCTCGTGTCACCATGACATCATGACTTTTGCGTAAACATACACGCCATTTTCGAGTCAGGTGGCGTGTTATCTCTACGCATTTTGAGTTATCTGTGTGTATCAGCGTATATGCGTATATGTCTACGCCATTAACGTCCGCGTCATTCCGCGTGTCTGAACACGCAGTCAAATCTCCAGTCATAAATGCCATTAACCCCAGTGACGGTTAAGTTTAGGGATGGGGTTGAGGTAAGTCATATCTTTTTTTTACCTAGGATGGTAGGGGAACAGTCATAAATGCCATTAACCCCAGTGACGGTTAAGTTTAGGGATGGGGTTGAGGTAAGTCATATCTTTTTTTTACCTAGGATGGTAAGGGAACAGTCATAAATGCCATTAACCCCAGTGACGGTTAGGTTTAGGGACGGGGTTGAGGTAAGTCATATATTTATATAACGTTAAGTCAACGGCGTTCATAAACACGCTGAAAGGCGATTATGCATCTTGATAGCACGCCAAAAATGGAAATACGAATTGGCGTGTCATACACACGCTACTTCATGAGATCAGTCTGCAGTTTGTGCGTATCTTGGTGAAAGCCGAGTCCAAATCAGCATGAAGTTTAACATCTACTCTCGTGTAATGGAAATCAACAGTTCTTAAAAAGTGTTAAACAACTCCTTATAATGATTCCAGTTATTAATCACGCCCTGTTTAGACTGAATCATGTGAGTTTTTTGTTGCGCATTGATGGATTTATGTGGTGAATATGTTTCCATCATAGTTTATGCCCTTGACTTCTTATCGGATAAAAACATTATCATCTCAGTTGAGCACATTTGAACTGTTGACCGGAACTGAGAACACACACACACACGATCACTCACACAACACACACGGCTGTTGTTTTTGTGCTTAATTTAAAGTCCTTAAAGAGATATAATCCACAGTTTTTGTTACTTTAAATGAGTTACTTTATTAAAAACTGATGATTCTTTGTTCTTCAATATCATTCTTGCACACATTTAGATTGTGTGGATCTTATTTCAGCAGATTATCCCTCAGACTGTGTGACAACATTTGTACAACTGAACTCTTTGTGTTTGACAATAACTCTCATAATCTGTGATTGTGTCGTACATGTCCGAGTGTGTTATATTTCTAGCAGACAAATGTGTCTAACACGAATCAAACTTTGAGAGATAAAGCACAAACATCCACTGAGTTACCGATGCTCAAACAACAGGCGTTCCTCTCGTCCCCGTCCTCACACTGCTGTTCTCAACTATTACTATCACACACATCTAGTGTCTAAGTCTTCATGAAATCACTCATTATTATTCTTTTAGTTTTTTTAGCTCAGCCCAAAATAATGCAACAAGTAAATAAACTAAATCTATACAAACATAAAGACAGTGTTTCCGCTGTCTTCAGGGAAATGATGTGGAGTGTGTTTGCATATTGATCCGATCTTCAGTGTGTGAGAGTGTTTATAGTGCTGTGAGTTTAACACTTCATCACTGACACACACAACAATCTTCATCAACATGACCTTCATCATCATCTTCATCTGGACTCTCACAGCGTTTGCTCAAGGTTTGTGGAGCACAAGTTTGATATTAATTCACTTCTTCAAGTATATTGTCAAAGTTTTGAGTGTATTTTCTTGTTGTGTGTTTCAGAGTGTAGAGGACAGATCACCGTCACTCAGAGTCCCTCAATAACAGCAGAACAACCAGGAGGAACTGTCAATATCAAATGTAAAACCAGCACAAATGTGCGCTGGGATGGTTCTGATTATTTATTATCCTGGTATTTACAGAAACCTGGAGAAGCTCCTAAACTCCTGATTTATTGGGCTAACCGCCGTCAGTCAGGAACTCCATCTAGATTCAGTGGCAGTGGATCTAACAGTGATTTCACTCTGAGCATCAGTGGAGTCCAGACTGAAGATGCTGGACATTATTACTGTCAGAGTTTCCACTGCAGAACAGATTCTGATAATAATTGTGAGGGTGATCGTGTGTTCACACAGTGATAAAGAGTCGTACAAAAACCCCCGTCAGTCAGAGTCACAGTGACTGAACTGAAACTGCAGCTGCAGCTGCACAAACACACACACACACACAGAGAGAGAGAGAGATAAACTACACATGTGCTCAAAACTGATGACTGAAATCAGCTCTATTACACTGTGATCTGTGACAGACAGAGATAAAAACAGTCTCTCTATATTAATATCAAACAAACAAAACTGCCACTGTATGTTTTTGAGCTTTTCAAGTAGCTTTATCTTTCACTACAAGTTTATCAAGATAATAAAGAAATTACTCATCATAACTGTTCTGTCAAAACTACTGACTTTATCATTCATCTCAGTGCATTATTTATGATTAAAGCAATTTTAAGACATTCTGATGACCTTTGACCTCTGGAATGACCTTTGCCCTCTAATGAAGTTCACAGTGACATACTAGTGCAGCAACTCTGTCATGTGAATCATCAGAAAGCCTGATATAAACGTTTTGCATAGAGAGTGTGTTTTACATGAGCGACACACGCTTCAGTGCTCTGCGTGTGTTTATAACTCTGTCAAACACAAACATGATCAACAACTGTTTTTCACTAGAACTGAACCTTCAACAACAGAAATGACTTTCATCACCATATTGATCTGGACGCTGGCAGTATTATGTCGAGGTTTGTGTCCTTCAAGGTTATATACATTATTTATCATGTGTGTTGTGTAGATAAATGGCTGTAAAAGTGTTTGTGATTTCTAATCTTTCTCTTTTGTCAGAATCTGTTGGTCAGGTGACAGTGACTCAAACTCCCTCAGATCTGCTCTCTGAACCTGGACAATCAGTCACTATAACCTGTAAAACTAGCAGAGATCCAGCCTGCTGTGTCCGTGGAAAACCCCTTCTTAGCTGGTACTTACAGAAACCTGGAGAAGCTCCTAAACTCCTGATATATGGATCAATCTATCGTCAGTCAGGAACTCCATCTAGATTCAGTGGCAGTGGATCTAACAGTGATTTCACTCTGAGCATCAGTGGAGTCCAGACTGAAGATGCTGGACATTATTACTGTCAGAGTTATCACAGCGGTTATGTGTTCACACAGTGATAAAGAGTCGTACAAAAACCTCCGTCAGTCAGAGTCACAGTGACTGAACTGAAACTGCAGCTGCTCAAACACACACACACACACACACACACACACAACAGTGAAGAAATGACTCTAAATGATTATTGAACAACAATTTGTTTAGATTCATCAGTTTTGACTTTTTGATTGCGATTTTTCAGGAATAACATGTGTCTCCTGTTTACTATTACATCCTTTCTGTAGAAATTCACTCACTTTTGATTTTCACTTCAATTGATAATTTTCAATTCATTCAAAACATTTTTGATTTTCTGCATTTATGATTTAATATATTATTTTTTTATAAACCGCATCATCAGCATCTAAATGTATGTTGAGTTTAATAAGTCGAAAGATTTCGATGAATAAATGACACACACACACAGGACAAACACAGGATCTACACATGTACACAAAATGTAATGACTGAAATTAGACTGATCTGATCTGTGACCGACGAGTTTGACTCTAATATTCTCAGAATAAGAGAAAACTGAGTGTGTAAACTGATAGAAATCAAACAAACAGTGGCGCATTATTTATGTTTTGTTTGTTTTTTTGTTTTTTTACATTAAACTACACAGTACAGTAATTGTGTAACACCAGTGACTGAACTGGTGACATTGAGAACACACACACGATCACTCGCACAACACACACGGCTGTTGTTTTTGTGCTTAATTTAAAGTCCTTAAAGAGATATAATTCAGTTTTTTGTTACTTTAAATGAATTGCTTTAATAAAAACTGATAATTCTTTGTTCTTTAATATCATTCTTGCACACATTTAGATTATCTCTCAGACATTTCTCTCAGCCTGTGTGACAACAACAGTGTGTTAATTTAAGGTTACAACTGAACTCTGTGTTTGACTATAACTCATAATCTGTGATTGTGTCGTACATGTCCGAGTGAGTTATATTTCTAGCAGACAAATGTGTCTAACACGAATCAAACTTCGAGAGATAAAGCACAAACATCCACTGAGTTACCGATGCTCAAACAACAGGCGTTCCTCTCGTCCCCGTCCTCACACTGCTGTTCTCAACTATTACTATCACACACATCTAGTGTCTAAGACTTCATCAAATCACTCATTATTATTCTTTTAGTTTTTTTAGCTCAGCCCAAAATAATGCAACAAGTAAATAAACTAAATCTATACAAACATAAAGACGGTGTTTCTGCTGTCTTCAGGGAAATGATGTGGAGTGTGTTTGCATATTGATCAGATTTTCAGTGTGTGAGAGTGTTTATAGTGCTGTGAGTTTAACACTTCATCACTGACACACACAACAATCTTCATCAACATGACCTTCATCATCATCTTCATCTGGACTCTCACAGCGTTTGCTCAAGGTTTGTGGAGCACAAGTTTGATATTCATTCATTTCTTCAAGTATATTGTCAAAGTTTTGAGTGTATTTTCTTGTTGTGTGTTTCAGAGTGTAGAGGACAGATCACCGTCACTCAGAGTCCCTCAATAACAGCAGAACAACCAGGAGGAACTGTCAATATCAAATGTAGAACCAGCACAGATGTGTATGGTGGAAATTATTTATTCTGGTACTTACAGAAACCTGGAGAAGCTCCTAAACTCCTGATTCGTTACGTAAAAACCCTCGAGTCAGGAACTCCATCTAGATTTAGTGGCAGTGGATCTAACAGTGATTTCACTCTGAGCATCAGTGGAGTCCAGACTGAAGATGCTGGACATTATTACTGTATGAGTTTCCACTGCAGAACAAATTTTCTTAATAAATGTGTGGGTGATGGTGTGTTCACACAGTGATAAAGAGTCGTACAAAAACCTCCGTCAGTCAGAGTCACAGTGACTGAACTGAAACTGCAGCTGCTCACACACACACACACACACACACACACACACACACACACACACACACACACACACACACACACACACACACACACACACACACACATTAAGAAAAGCAAAATGATCTTATAATAAGAAATAATAATATAATATAATAATAATAATATATTATAATAATATGAAAATTTGTGCTTTGTCAGTATATGACGGTTTTGATGATGATTTTTCAGAAGTCATTTTTCTCTTGTTATTTTCAGTCCTTCATGAGGAAATTCAGACACATTTGGTCGTCACTAGTGGATATTTTTCAATCTTTCACCATATTTTAGTTTTTCTGCATTTATGATTTATCCTCATTCTTCTTTCTAAACTGAATCACCAGCATCATAAATATGTCCATCTTGATCAGTTTAATAAGTCTATCGATTTCTTTAAGTTCATCCTTTATATATGAACAGCAACATAAAACACAATCCTCAATTTCAGAGCAGATGAAAATTCATATCATTTAATTAATATCTTTACATAGCATTTAAAATTAAAGACCAAATAGCCAAACAGGTGTAGTCCACCACCATAAAAAAAAATCCCATTTATTTTATATTTATTGTATAATTGAACAGTGCTGTATAGGACAGCTTTGTCAAACATTGAATTAATATCGACATTTCAAACATTTCATACTGATGTTTTTTTGTGTGCAATTTAACACATCCATGTACAGTGGAAATTTATTTATAGATAGTTTTTTATATTAAAGATTTGTAAAGGTTTGTTTGTTTATACGCAATTGATGAGCCAACATGTAACTCGTAAAGATGAAATCTTATTAACAAACGCACTAATGAATCCATCAGCAGAAGTGAAACTGTTCCAGTTCAGAGCGTTGAACCAGTAAAAGAGAGAAACTGTGAGTTTCAGTTGAAAATGTGATTTGCATTGTCAGGTTTAGTGATTGTGACGTCTCAGAATAGAGCAGCTCGTCTCCAGTGACCATGTTCAAACCCCAAGAGCTTCATTTGACTTCATTTCCCGCTGAATGCAGCTGTTCTCAACTATTACAATCAATCAAAAGCGGCTGAAACTTTAGTGCAACGACACACTGATCAATGATGCAGTCACACACACATGTAAGGCGTTCAAATGAAGCTTTATTGAATGAACAGCAATGGCAGCACATTGACAGACTGCTTCAGTATTGAGCTGTAAATCACGTGACTCGGCTCAGATCCGCTGGTCTTCACTGGAGAAACATCAGCAGTCGGAGCTCTTGAGGAACGAGGCCTCGTGAGCAGCTCCGGCATGTGTTCCTCTGCAGACCAAGCGCCCTGTCCCTGCGCCTTCCCAGCGTGCTTTGCTGAGGCTCAAGACGCTGCTGAGACTGTAGAGACCGTCCCGCTCGCTCTCTGCGCTCGTCTGAACCCCCTCGGTGACCTCTGACCCGTCCAGCATCCAGCTCACCGTCGCCCCCTTTGGAGAGTAAGAGCTGAGCAGGCAGAGCAGAGCGGAGGAGTCTCCAGAGACCAGCAGAGACACGGAGGGAGACACGGAGGGCCCGGCTGAAACACACACACATGGAGAATCACCATCATTTCACTTTAAATATACAACTTACATTTTTAATAATCCCCAGAATGAGTTTGAAAAGCATTGGCCAAATGATATTTTTTTAAACGCTCATCCACTAAGTTTCCTTTTGTCTGATGAACCCAAATATATATTTTGATTGTATTATAAAACCTCATGCATTGTTTCATCAACCAAGAATTATAGACAAAACTATATATGAAGAAATAATTGAATAGATTTTGAAGGATCTGCAGTCAAAACATGACATGAACTAAATGTTAGCAATAATAAGATGTTGAATTATTTGTGTAAAATGAAAAAAAAAAACGTTTATATGAATTATTAAATGTAAAAATAAGATTTTTTTTCAGAATTGAATTACAGGATCTAAATCAAATTTTTAAAAACATTGTCCACGTTAAAATTGATTAATACATTGTGATATCTTTATAAGAGTAAGAAAACAAATTATAATAATATTAACATCTTTTAAAAAATATTATTTTAATTTAATACTCACAATCAATCGCAATTTTCAGCCCATTTTCAATTATGATTTTTATAATACAGTAAAAAGCACAATCATATCATCTTTACTGTAGTTTCACCGCACTGCTTTCCTTCAAAGACATTATCCTGAGTTTAGTTTGAAAATATGCTCCATTAAATCAATATTGAATATTACTAAATGTGCACTGTAAAAAATGATGACGTAATTTTAACGGCGAAGGACTACGGTAAAAACCTGTTGATTGGTAAATGACTTGATCCTTTACTGTATACAGTGAAAACTGAGATTTAAGTAGATTTAACTGGATATTTCATTTGTTAAATTTAATTTGCTGTTTTTGAAGTGAAAATAATAAAAAAAACTGCCTTTTCTTACTGTAAAAGTTACAGTTTGGATTGGAATTTAAAAAAATTTGGAATATCACCAAATATCACATATTTATAATATATCAAACAATATAATAATGAAATACATGAAATCAATCAGTAAAATAGAAAAAAATGTGACAATAAATAAGACTTGAAATCTATTATGTTTTAATATGCAATAATATTATGTTAAAATCAATCATGTTTGTTTTTTATAAATTATGTTAAATAACATTAAACATTCTTTTAAAAACACACACATCATATATTTTTATTAGATAATTTAAGAAAGACTCACAGGTTCTGATCGTCAGTTCAGTTCCTCCACCGAAAGTCCACCACAGTGTTTCATTCTAGTGAAAGCGTCGTACAAAAACCTCCGTCACACTCAAACGAACACACACTCCAGCAGAGAAAGAGACGAACGAAACACACACACACACAGAGAGAGAGATTTAAGACTCAACAGCAGATCTTCTCAACATCTGATTGAAAAAGAGCCACAAAATTTTCATCTTTAAAAATAAAAAATGTATTACATGAAGCCTGAAATCATTGTCATGTTTCATAATCACTCAAAAAATACATTTGTGACATTTATATCAATTCTATTGTCCTGCTTTATAATGAAATGTTCTGCCAGATTTAGATGGTCATTCTCTATTGGATGACCTTTGACCTGTTCTACAGTATCATGGATGATATAAACACAGCACAGGTATTTAATGCTCTCAGCATCAAAGTCTGAATGAAACTGATCATTAAAACTGTGTTTAGAGCGAGAAGATCGACCCAAAATAACATGAAGTGAATAATGAGTGTGTGTTTATGAAAATGATAAATAGAAGTTTATTAGCAAAGACACTAAAAGACAAAACAGTGTTTCTGCTGTCTTCAGGGAAATGATGTGGAGTGTGTTTGCATATTGATCAGATCTTCAGTGTGTGAGAGTGTTTATAGTGCTGTGAGTTTAACACTTCATCACTGACACACACAACAATCTTCATCAACATGACCTTCATCATCATCTTCATCTGGACTCTCACAGCGTTTGCTCAAGGTTTGTGGAGCACAAGTTTGATATTCATTCATTTCTTCAAGTATATTGTCAAAGTTTTGAGTGTATTTTCTTGTTGTGTGTTTCAGAGTGTAGAGGACAGATCACCGTCACTCAGAGTCCCTCAATAACAGCAGAACAACCAGGAGGAACTGTCAATATCAAATGTACAACCAGCACAGATGTGTACAGGGATGATGATGGGGATGATTATTTCAGCTGGTACTTACAGAAACCTGGAGAAGCTCCTAAACTCCTGATTTATTGGACAAACCGCCTCGAGTCAGGAACTCCATCTAGATTCAGTGGCAGTGGATCTAACAGTGATTTCACTCTGAGCATCAGTGGAGTCCAGACTGAAGATGCTGGACATTATTACTGTCAGAGTTATCACTACATCAACAGTGTAAATATGTTCACACAGTGATAAAGAGTCGTACAAAAACCTCCATCAGTCAGAGTCACAGTGACTGAACTGAAACTGCAGCTGCTCACACACACACACACACACACACACACACACACACACACACAAATAAACTACACATGTGCTGAAGACTAACTTATGACTGAAATCAGCTCTATTAGACTGATGACTATTAGATAAAACAGTCTGTATATTAATATCAAATCAAACACACAAAACTGCCACTGTGTGTTTTTGAGCTTTTCAAGTAGCTTTATCTTTCACTAGAGGTTTATCAAGATAATAATAAAGATATTGCTCATCATAACTATCCAATCAAAACTACTGACATCATTCATCTCAGTGCATTGTTAATGATTAAAGCAATTTTAATACATTCTGATGACCTTTGACCTCTGGAATGACCTTTGCCCTCTAATGAAGTTCACAGTGACATACTAGTGCAGCAACTCTGTCATTTGAATCATCAGAAAGCCTGAAGCTTCAGACACAGGAATAAATGTTTATGACTCGTAACATGGAAAAATATCCCAAACACTGTTATGATTTATGAGCGTCATGTGCTGGAATCCGTACACAGATTTACATATAGATTATTTGCATCTCAGCTCATGCTTCAGGAGGTTTATAACTCTGAGTCTGAACACTGAGAATCTAATTAAACCAACAGCAACCATGAGCTTCATCTTCATCATCTTCATCTGGATGTTCTCCAGCTGTTTCACAGGTCAGGAAATATGAAGTTAAACTGCTAATATAATTGATCTTTTGTGTTAGAAATATTATCCAAATGTGTAATTCTGAATGTTTATTCATTCTTCTTGATGTAGAATCCGTTGGTGCAGTGACAGTCACTCAGACGCCGGCAGTGAAATCTGTTCCTCTAGGAGACACATTTACTATATCCTGTAAAACCAGTCCTGAAGTCTATCAGGGTTGGAGTTATCAGCCTTTATCCTGGTACTTACAGAAACCTGGAGAAGCTCCTAAACTCCTGATTTATAAAGCAAATGTCCTCCAGTCAGGAACTCCATCTAGATTCAGTGGCAGTGGATCTAACAGTGATTTCACTCTGAGCATCAGTGGAGTCCAGACTGAAGATGCTGGACATTATTACTGTCAGAGTTATCACGGTGGTGGTGTGTTCACACAGTGATAAAGAGTCGTACAAAAACCTCCATCAGTCAGAGTCACAGTGACTGAACTGAAACTGCAGCTGCTCAAACACACACACACACACACACACACACACACACACACACACACACACACACACAACATCAAGTAGGCTACACATATCTAAACTTTATTCTATAAATGTTTCTCTCTCATACACTTTCACCAGTTATCAGACCAAACATCTGAAACTATGATTTCTGTATTTGGCGTATGATCAAAGATATATATATATATATAGGCCTATATTTATCTTCTCATTACTTCCTCAGAATACACAGATCAGACGGAGATTGAGAAAGCTCAACAATCTAATCAAATGATCTTGAAGTAATTAAATCCTTGATGTCTTTAATGGCATATTTTAATAAGATTACAAATGAGATTGTGTGTATAAAGCGTTGCATTACCGTTTACACAGCCTACACTTTCCGGTTCACTTCAGTGTTCAGTCAGTCCTCTACATCGTTTGATCAATGCATTTACAATACTTTTGTGTTAGAAATAATTATCCAAATATGTAATTCTGAATATTTATTTGTTCTTCTTGATGTAAAATCAGTTGGGGAAGTGACAGTCACTTTTAAAGTTATCATGAGCATTGTAATGTTTGAAGCAGATATTTTAAAACGAGCGGATCGTTCATAAATCCATAAGAAACACAAAACAGAAAGCTGAAAATAGGCTTATGTGTTCAACTCATCTTGATCGTATTCACGAGTTTAAATGAACATGAACTCCACAATGTCTGGATTTTCTCGATCTTTCCGAGTTGTGGGCGAGTCAGTGAGAAACATGGCGGAATAACACAACACTGAAAGGTATTTAGCAGAGACATTGTCAGGCTTTTCTTTTAACAGCGAAGTAAGCTAAACCTGCACCGAATATGATGGCATTATAATATGTAATATGTAACTATAAAGTTTGCAGTGGCTTCATACATTAATTAAAAACATCACACACCTGATGCACATTTCCTTGTTCTTAATTGTCTAGAACTTGAGTAAAACCTTGAGCTGTATTTCTGTGATTAATTCAGAGAAAGTACATCGCCATCTTACTCCGATGAAAATGACTTGAACTCCTGCCGTCGTAAACACGACTTCCCACCTCGTAAGTACAAACTTCTAGAAACATTTTTATTTTTAGACATGAATGAAAATGAGGCTTATAGAAAACCTTCTGTGATTTGAGTCTGGATCCGATCTGCTCATAATCAGATATTCAGATTAATATACTGAAGTTGCTATTGTAGATGTAATCAGAACTGAATTGAATGATATAATCTTTAACATTTTGACTTTGTAGATGATGCAATATTATGAAACTTAATAGATTGTGTTTTGTGTGTGTTAATGAGTGACTGTCTTCAGGGAAATGATGTGGAGTGTGTTTGCATATTGATCAGATCTTCAGTGTGTGAGAGTGTTTATAGTGCTGTGAGTTTAACACTTCATCACTGACACACACAACAATCTTCATCAACATGACCATCATCATCTTCATCTGGACTCTCACAGCGTTTGCTCAAGGTTTGTGGAGCACAAGTTTGATATTAATTCATTTCTTCGAGTATATTGTCAAAGTTTTGAGTGTATTTTCTTGTTGTGTGTTTCAGAGTGTAGAGGACAGATCACCGTCACTCAGAGTCCCTCAATAACAGCAGAACAACCAGGAGGAACTGTCAATATCAAATGTAAAACCAGCACAGATGTGTACAGGGATGATGATGGGGATGAAGGTTTATCCTGGTACTTACAGAAACCTGGAGAAGCTCCTAAACTCCTGATTTATTTAGTAAAAACCCTCGAGTCAGGAACTCCATCTAGATTCAGTGGCAGTGGATCTAACAGTGATTTCACTCTGAGCATCAGTGGAGTCCAGACTGAAGATGCTGGACATTATTACTGTCAGAGTTTCCACTGCAGAACAAATTCTGATAATGATTGTGTGGGTGATTATATGTTCACACAGTGATAAAGAGTCGTACAAAAACCTCCATCAGTCAGAGTCACAGTGACTGAACTGAAACTGCAGCTGCTCACACACACACACACACACACACACACACACACACACACACACACAGATAAACTACACATGTGCTGAAGACTAACTTATGACTGAAATCAGCTCTATTAGACTGATGACTATTAGATAAAAAGAGTCTGAATATTAATACAGTCTGCCACTGAGTGTTTTTTTTTAGCTTTTACGAGTAGCTTTATCTTTCACTAGAGGTTTATCAAGATAATAATAAAGATATCGCTCATCATAACTGTCCAATCAAAACTACTGACATCATTAATCTCAGTGCATTGTTAATGATTAAAGCATTTTTAATACATTCTGATGACCTTTGACCTCTGGAATGACCTTTGCCCTCTAATGAAGTTCACAGTGACATACTAGTGCAGCAACTCTGTCATTTGAATCATCAGAAAGCCTGAAGCTTCAGACACAGGAATAAATGTTTATGACTCGTAACATGGAAAAATATCCCAAACACTGTTATGATTTATGATTGTCATGTGCTGGAATCCGTACACAGATTTACATGTAGATTATTTGCATCGCAGCTCATGCTTCAGGAGGTTTATAACTCTGAATCTGAACACTGAGAATCTAATTAAACCAACAGCAACCATGAGCTTCATCTTCATCATCTTCATCTGGATGTTCTCCAGCTGCTTCACAGGTCAGGAAATATGAAGTTAAACTGCTCTATTTGAACTGATTAACAAACAGTGCTTGAAATATTGTCAAATATGTAATTCTGAATGTTCATTTATTCTTCTTGATGTAGAATCCGTTGGTGCAGTGACAGTCACTCAGACGCCGGCAGTGAAATCTGTTCCTCTAGGAGACACATTTACTATATCCTGTAAAACCAGTCCTGAAGTCTATCAGGGTTGGAGTTATCAGCCTTTATCCTGGTACTTACAGAAACCTGGAGAAGCTCCTAAACTCCTGATTTATAATGCAAACAGCCGTCAGTCAGGAACTCCATCTAGATTCAGTGGCAGTGGATCTAACAGTGATTTCACTCTGAGCATCAGTGGAGTCCAGACTGAAGATGCTGGACATTATTACTGTCAGAGTTTCCACTACATCAACAGTAATGTGTTCACACAGTGATAAAGAGTCGTACAAAAACCTCGATCAGTCAGAGTCACAGTGACTGAACTGAAACTGCAGCTGCTCAAACACACACACACACACACACACACACACACTAAGAAAAGCGATATGATCTTATAATAAGCGGTTATATAATAATAATAATATACTTTGTAAAAGTTTGAGCTTCGTCAGTATATGACTGTTTTGATCCTGATTTTTCAGTCATTTTTTTTATTGAGGAAATTCAGAAACATTTGATCGTCACTAGTGGATATTTTTCAATCTTTCACCATATTTTAGTTTTTCTGCATTTATGATTTATCCTCATTCTAATCACTAGCATCATAAATATGTTCATCTTGGTCAGTTTAATAAGTCTGTCTATTTTTAAAGTTCATCCTTCATATATATAAACAGCATCATAACATACAATCCTCAACTTCAGAGCAGATGAACATTTTTAATAATATCTTTACATGGAATTTTACGATTCATTTTACAATTAAAGACCAGATTACCAAACAGCAAACAGGTGTAGTCTGCCACCATCCAAAAAATACATTTATTTTATATATATATTGTATAATTTAGCAGTGCTGGATATGACAGCTTTTTCAAACATTGGATCAATATCAACATTTCAAACATTTCATACTGTTGTTTTTTGTGTGCAATTTTAAACATCCATGTACAGTGGAAATGTATAAAGATTGCATGTGTGAATATAGTGTGTGTTGATGAGCCAACATGTAGGCTAACTCATGATGAAATCTTATTAACAAACAGACTAATGAATCCATCAGCAGAAGTGAAACTGTTCCAGTTCAGAGGTTGAACCAGTAAAAGAGAGAAACTGTGAGTTTCAGTTGAAAATGTGATTTGCATTGTCAGGTTTAGTGATTGTGACGTCTCAGAATAGAGCAGCTCGTCTCCAGTGATCATGTTCAAACCCCAAGAGCTTCATTTGACGTTTCCTGCTGAATGCAGCTGTTCTGTGGATGCCAGCCCGAACTCCGCCCACAACATTTTTTGATCGGGAAGTTCGGTCTGGACTCGATCCATTGAGGAGTAATTATGATCAGTCAAAAAATGAACGGGCCTATCAGATTGCCAGGGCGGGCTTTAAACGATGATGGACAGGTGATCTTCAGGGACGTAATCATCACGTTATCAAAGAGCGCTTAACTGGTTTCCCTCAAAGATGAAGGCAGTCCTGCATCAGGAGAATTGAGATAGTTTCCGCTGTCGCGTTGTGAAATAAATCGACAGCGCATTAATTTTAATAGACAAACAGAGAACTGCAATCAAGGCATTTGTCGATCAGCTTCATAATATTGTATTTTTGCCGTCCTTCCTTAAATGATTCGGGAAAAGTGTAACGTTAACTTATCAGCTGGCTCTGACGGTCGCTAAAGATGGGACATAATGAAAAGCCTGTGGTCGTTGTGGTTTCTCCTTTGGTCGCACTCGTGAAGGACCAAGTAAAAGAAGCAACACTCGTTATTTTACTTCTAAAAAAAGTAAGTTCTGTTGACATCTGTGATATGCAAAGTAGTTGACTTATTGCGTTGCTCTGATTGGTTGTAGGTCTACCGACTATCCAATTGAGTGCAGAGTATTTTTTTCCTGGTTCGTTTAAGACACGCCTCATAATCAAAGCCCTGTGGAGCAGTTTCAGACAGGCTAGCTGTTCTCAACTATTATACATACAGTCGAATACATTGTACGTTTATGTAATTAAAAATATATATTTTAGGATTGCTTCCAAGAATTTGATCGGATTTATGTTTGATAAAGGCAGCTTTTATGCGTAGTGAACTGTGTACACCGATCCCGATTATTAAACTGATTATAATAGTTTAGACCGCTAGGTGGTGCTGTGCACAAACCTTTTGAGAACTGCAAGATACACGCGTTGAACTGATGCTAATTATGACACCATTTTGCAGAAGGGTTCAATCGTATTTTGTGCAATTTTTTTATCCGATGGTGTATTTTTGAGTTAAAGTGGTCACATCAGACTCAGAGCTTGATAAACCGTACATCTGTGAAATATTTCTGTCCAGGTTTGTTCGGATTCACTGAATATTATGTCAATTTACAGAACCTGTATATTTTATATTTTGTTCATTTCACCAACTTAAGTGAATGCCATCACAAAATAAATGATTTAATAAATCCCAATAATGAATAGGCTACTCGCGATGAGAGATGTGACGCACAGTATTTCCGTCACAAACCAATATTATGTCATTGTCAATATAGAATTTCTGTTGAGGAGCATCAAAATAAAGTCTCAGCAAATATTAAAAAGATTGTTTATTGATTCTCTAATCACTATAGCTGACATGTAGTTGCAAAGTTATTTATAGTTAGTAGAATTTCAAGTGGATTGTCGAAATAAAGCGTTGTCTTATTTTAATCCCAGAGTCTGCGAAGCTGGCATTGATCATGTGAGAATAAAAAAGTGTAGCCTATATAATAATTTAAAATAAAAATGGGATGATATGAAATCTACCATATTGCTTTGCAATTTACATTTTCATTGCATGTATTGCTATGCATTTAGAAAAAGATAAAGCAACGTACAAAAGAAGAATAAAAGCAATTCATCAGAGAGCCAACATTAATCGTAATACACTGTACAATGACAGGTTTATTTGACAATTTAATGTTAAAGCTCAATATCATATATAACTTCCAGCAACCAAAGAGCAGTCTGAACTGTAAAACTATTACATGTAGCGAATTGTATTTATTATATACATTTTAACTCCACAAAATCCTGCTTTTGTGTTCCCGTTCTCCTCATTCCTCTTTCTTGAGTATTACACAAGAGGACTGTACTCCCAACCAAAACCCTGGCAGAGTTTTCTCCTTTATGGGATTCTTAAACCTGTGAATGAGTTTCACTTGTTTCTTCTTTGACTCTTCGTCCGTCTCCACGGCGTAGAAGCAGAGCAGGCCTGCGGGCTGATCCACATACACGCCTATAGTGGAGCACTGATGAGTGCCCTCCACCCTTCTGTTGATTCCTTTATGCCAGGCGTCGTAGCAGGACCCGGACCAACCCAGACCCCACGACTCCTCGTTCTCCCCGAGGCCACAGGTCCCGTCGCCGGCCCTCCTCCCCGCACCCTCGTACGTCGCCCCGATAATCACCCAGCCGGAGTACAGCACCTCCCAGTAACAGCGTGACGCCCAGATAGACTCCTTACACAGCACCTGCACACACACAGAGGAATGCGTTTTATTATAGTGCAAAAAATAGTGCATGAGAGAGACAAAGATATCAGAATTATGTGAAGTGTGTTTATGTTGTGGCCCATTCATGATATTGAAAACACTTGCAAAGTATATGTATTTCATTTTATTATTTATCATGTTATATAACTGATGTAATATAACATAGTCTTATGAAAAGTGGCAATAGTTTTGGAGACATTGTCATCTCACTTAGCAGAAAAACAAAAAAGTGTGTGTGTGTGTGTGTGTGTGTCATTCACCTGAGGGTTGTAGTCAAATCTCTGTTGTCTGTCCAGGCAAGGACACACCTCATCTGTCAAGCGGGACACTTTAGCCCCGCCCTCTGTGAGCCACAGCACTTTATTGGCAGTTCGTTCATCCAATGAAATATTGAACCAGTCTAGGATGAAAGAAAAAGTTCAGCCAGGTCCATGTTCAGTCCTGTGTTATTTTACAATCATTGATATAGCCTACTATTAGTGTTTGTTTGTATTTTAATTTTTTTTTCTTTGTATTATTTTCTGTTTTCATTGCAATAGTAGCCTCATTTTGTGTGTGTGTGTGGGTGTGTACTATAAAATTTTGTATTTAGTTTTAGTATATAGTTTTAGTTATTTTTGGAGAAAAAAAATGTTTATGTTAATTTTAATATATTTTTGTTTTTGGTTAATGATAATAACCCTGGTTCAGACTGGAAAGGAGCAGGGTGCGTTTCCCAAAAGCATCGTTGGCCAAATATAATCGCAATATGTAGCCCCGCCCCTTTTCAGTGCTGCGCTCGTTGTCTTTTGACTTCCGGTCTGTATTTCCACCGCGATCTTGCATAGGTATGAATGAACTGCTCGTAAAAAAATTCCCGATCGACATTTGTTGAGACATCTGCTTTACAATGCTTATGATAACTTTTGTTAACTCTACAATAAATAAATCCACTTCACCAGCTAATTACTCCTCGAAAGTGATGCCATAGAAATATACAGAGCGACCGCAAAAACGGAAGTTCAAATTTTCTAAAGATGACGGCGCCCACGTTAGTCTGGTGCATAAGGTCTATTGGTAACGACGGAACCATGGATGGCTTTGGGAACCGCACCACTGGTCAGTACCGGTTTATTTGATTCTTGTTCTGTGTCTGTGAGACTCACATTTCAGCAGCTCCTCTCGGGTCGTCGGCTCTGGGATGTTCGGCTCATAAACTGGAAGTTTTTCTGAAGAGGGAGAATGTGAGAAATAAGTTATAGCCTATCAGTTCAGTTCAGACACACCAACACTGCCAGACGAGCGCGAACATTCAACACACATTCAAGAACACACACGCAGTCAGATCATTTCCATAATGACCAACGCAAGTCTGGTTAATGACGTGCATCTTTTGGGTGGTAAATAATGCTGCGAACACCAGTATTGTCTAGTGCAAACCTTAGTAAATCACCTTGAATTGTTCATTTAAATATTCTCTCCTTCTGAAAGGCAAACTCCAACAAATGCAATAAGGTCAGCAGCAAAAATAGCCCTGTCCCTGTCAACACAGGCTATTCAGCGCGGTCAACTACCCTGCGTGTCTGTAAATCCTGATAGTAGTTCTTTAACACCACCCTGCTGAAATAAACAATAGAAACCATTACAGAAATGGTAATGGTTTCCACTACAAAACCATTACAAACCATCAGCCGTTAACCATTAAAACCATTACAAAATGGTGTCCATTACGTAGTGTGTTTTGGACCATATTCTATTAGGATGTAGGCTATTGGTTTGTATAGGTTTCCATTACAAATTTGTAT